TTGTGAGGGTGGTGAGATGGGTGGGTGAAACTTTGGTAAAATGTAGGGTGTTTATAGATCACTAAATATAAAAGTTCCAACAAGCTTCTTTTTAGCATTTATGATATCACATTTTGAGAATTCATACATGAGTACTCTGTATCATTGCCCTCTCCCACCCCTCCCCTGCTCACCCCATTGCTTCTCTACTCCATGACCTCTTTCCCTTTAATTATTTTTGTTACATGTATACAACCTGCTGAGTCTACTTATTGCTGCCCCTATGCACATGTGCTTAGAGAATGGCTGCTTGGGATTGACAGCCTCCGGGGACCTCTTTCCTGGAGGGGACTGACTCTTCCTCTCTCTGCAGTCATTGATCACCTGCAGCTCTTGATCTAGGGAGGGCCTAGTGAGACTCCCCATCCATGCTGGCAAGAGAACTGGTGGTGTCATTGTGCAGGTCTTGTTTGGGTGGCCACGTTATTGAGATTTCATGGGTGCTGCATCCCTGTCATATATAGAAGACACTGTCTCATAGCTGATGTCCTGGTCCCCGGGCTTATATAATATGGAAGACACTGTCTCCCACCAGGTCCTCTGTCTTTTATAATCTTCCCACCTCCTTTTTTGCAATATTCAGATTTCTTATTAGTTACTAGAGGGAAAAGTATAATGAGGATGGAGAAATCGAGTCAACACCACATTAACCAAGGCATTAAAGCAAAGGAAACACATTTGGCCATCACATCGGTAGGCTATATCTCTGTGAATTCACCAACTGCAGGTCAAAGATACTTGAAAAAATTTACATCTGTGCCAATCACTGAGACCTTTCCTTGTTGTTTTTCTCTAAGCATTTATAGGGCACAAGGTATTATAAGCCATCTCCAACATTTATGGGGAAATAGGTAAGGGGCATGTGAAAATACAATGACATTTTACATAGGAGTTGGAGCATCCACTAATTTTAGTATCTGTAGAGATTCCTGACTACATTCCCACAGATGACTGCATACACTGATATACGGAAGAGAGGAAAAAAGGCTAGTTTTTATTTGTAACAGCCAGAACCTGGAAACAACCTAGATGCCCCTCAACCAAAGAACAGATAGAAAATGTGGTACATTTACACAATGAAGTAATAACTCAGCTGTTAAAAACAATGACTCAGGAAATTAGAAGGCAAATGGATGAAACATGAAGAAAAACCATCCTGAGTGAGGTAACCCAGACGCAGAAAGACAAACATGGTGTATTATGAAGGGGAAGTAAGAAGTACAGGAGATCTCGTGGGTGGACTGGGCCGTTGGGATAAGAACAAGAGGGGTCCGGTTGAGGGTGATTGGGGCAGTGCTGCAAGACCGGAAATGGGGTGTGTTTCAGCGTCAGGTGGAAACCCGTTACAAGGGAAACTCCCAGAAGTCTACAGCAGTGACCCCAGCTATGACTCCTAGCAATAGCAGACACATAGCCTCAACTGGCCATCTCCTGTGGCCCAGTCAAGATTTCCAGGGGAGGGACTGGGACACCAAACCAGTCACGTAACCTTTGACCTACAGTCTGTCCTACCTGTGGGATGTGCTGGGATTGGTGCCAACCGCAATTATCATCAGAGAGCCTTCATCCAGTAACCGATGGAAACAGATGCAGAGACCCACAGACAAACATTAGGCTGAGCTCGGGGAATCCTGCTCAAGAGAGGGAGGAAGGATTGTACCAGCCAGAGGGCTTGAGGACATCACAAGGGAACACACAGAAACAACTAACGTGGGCTATTAGGAGCTCACAGTCTGAACTGACAACCAGGGAGCCTGCATGGGACCATCTTAGACCCTCAGCAGATCTGTGACAGTTGTGTAGCTTGGTCAGCTTGTGGGACTCCTACAAGTGGGCACAGGGGCTGTCCCTGGTGCTTTGGCAGGCTTTGGGGAACCTATTCCTCATACTGGGTTGCCCTGCCCAACCTTAATACAAGGAGAGGTGCTTAGTCCTCCCTAACTTGATATGCCATGTTTGGTTGATATCCATGGGAGGCCTGCGTCCTTCTGAATGAAAACAGAGGGGGAGTGAATAAGGATGGACAAAAAGTAAGTGGGGAGAGAGGAGGGACAGAAAACTGTGGTTTGGGTATAAAATAAATAAAGTTAATTAATAAAAAGGCTGGGTATGTGGCTTCACTGGTAGGGGGCTTGCCTAGCACACAAGGCCAGGGTTTTAATCCCCAGAACCATGTAAATCAGGTATCATGGCATAGAGCTTACTCCCAGCACTCAGAGAGTAGAGACGGGAGAATAAGGAATCAAGGTCACCATCAGCTATGCAGAGAATTCAAGGAGAGCGTGAAGATACCTGAGGTCCTACCTCAAGAAGAGTCATCTATCTGGAAAATATTCTGAGATGTTTATACACACTTGATTATGGGTGTGTGCACACTGTCTGCATACTCTTGGGAGAGGGGCAGCAGAGAGCCAGCCTGCCTGAGGTGTGTGCAGGTTCCTTATGGCCGTTGCTTTTCTTCAGTTTTGAAACTATCTCCATATAAAAAGTTAAAAAGAATCGCTGAAAAAAAATCAGAAAGGCCATGTCATGTTACGTTGCAAGGCATAGCTTAGAATTCTAAGGTCTGGGACATTTCGTCAGGAAAACTTTATTAGCTATTTGCTTGGCACTATGGTAAGATGCCTGAAGGCAGGGCCTGAGGGAGGAAGGACCTTTTTGACTCGTAGTTTAAAGTGATATAGTCTACCATGGGGAAGCCTGGCAGAGTTCATGATGGCAGGCTATGCAGCTGTGACTGCTCTCATTCCCAGGACACAGTGGGTAGAGGACTTGGGTGGGAACCAGGGCCTGACTGTTACCTATAAATCCTCCTTTTCAATAGTACACTTCTTCCAGCATGTCTTCCTCAGCGCCTGGGCAGCCAAGGACCACGCATTCAAACACATGAGCCTGTACAGGAGATTGCACCTTCAGTTGAAGACAAATGCCATCTAATATTATGCAGCTAACAAGTGACCTTGCACCTCGTGAAAATTAGCTCAGGGCTTTAATTTTATTAATCACATTATCAAGCATCTCTGAGTTTATAAATAGTAAGCTAAATAATGCTCTTGAATAATCTCCCACACAAAACATTTATCAAAACAAAGCATTTGCTGAACACCAACCATTATCAAGGACAGGATACGAAAGGACAGAAACGGGGCTTCCTCTCTCTACCAGTCCACGCTAGCTTGGCCACAACATGGCTGATCGTTTATCAGAACCACAAACACACCCTGCCCTCCCTGTGTCTCATCAGGCCTGACTTTTGTGTCTCTTCCTCTTTGATGCTAAGCAGTTCCTTGTACAGTGTGGAGGGATCAAACCTTGGGAGCAAATGGCTGTCCCAGCCTGGGGAAGCAGGAACTTGCTTCTCGTTCAGGGCTAAAACCTGCAGTGTGCGTCATTGCAGCTCGGGTGTCCTGCCTCATGGTGGCCCTGCTGGCTGCTGTGCTAGGGTCTTTGTTTACTTTTTGTCACCCCTTCGGCATATGTGCCTGGCAGATCATTCCAACTTTATTCATTAATTTAGAAACCACGCCCCAGGCATTCTCAAACTCAGTTTCCTTTCCCTGCCTCAGTTCCCTACCCGGCATGGAAACAGTACACGCACGCACGCACGCACGCACGCACGCACACAATGTGAGTGCACAGCTGCAGTTTCAGGAGGGCCACAGTTGTGCAAGGATCGAGTCACACAGCAGCACATGGTGCCAGACCTCCCTGCCACGCCCTTCACCAGGTGAAACCTCAGCAGTGAGCAGTGTACAGATGATGGACAGCATTGGGCACCCTGCTCATCCAACGAACACACAAAAATCTACAGATCTGTCAGCCTCTGACCATGGGACTTGCTTTCATGCTGTCTTGAGTAAGGGTGTTGCCAGTGCGTCACCAAAGCGCTGAGCTGATTTTATTGGATCCATTTAGATTTATTTTCTTTTATAAAAAGATGACTATTATGGTTAACCTTCATTGTCAGTGTGCTGGCATCTGGGATCCCCTGTGATGGACCAGATGTGTTTGTGTTAAAAGGCTCACCTTTGCCTGCTCCAGGGTATCTGAAACCTCTGACCTCCTCGGGCAACTGTGCTCATGTACACAAATCCACACTCATGCATATAAATAAAAATAATAAAATCAATCTCAATAAAAGGGAAAAAAACCATCCTGATGTGGGTGGCTCATCCCATTGGCTGGAGCCCCAGACTGAATAAAGAGAATGGCGCCAAGCACCCGTGTCCATCTCTCTGCTACGCATGCAGTGTGACCAGCCGCCTCAAGCTCCCGCTGCCCAACCTGGAGATGCTCTCTGCTCCCACCATGCTCCAGCTGTGATGGCGTCAATGTCATCCTTTTGACTGGTATATTTGAAAATATGTATGAAGTCACCTTCATTTTTAATGAGCGTAAGTGGTAACAGTACAGTGGACTCTGCTGGTCAACGGTCTCACACTTGCAATCTGACCCAGTCAGCACTGCAGTGTAAATATAGCAGGAGTTACCATTTCTGTTGTGCAGAAGAAATGGAAACCCAGGAAACTGATTAGGACCTCTGACATCAGAACTCAAGCCCAAGGCTTCTGAATCAACAAGCTGTTATAGCACACTTGTTTCTGTTTTACAGGGGTGTCTGCATTTCAGTGATCATTCCCAAGCAAGCTTAGGAAAAGCTACCCCCCATGTGTCTCAGGGGCTGCCAGGAGCAAGCTCTGGTGATGAGGGACAAAGTAGAGAGAAGGCTCAGGTGTTTCTCTGAACAAAATACCAAATGAACATTGGTCATTTTTATCCACAAAATCAAGTGGGGAGGAAACACTTGTCCATGGCGAGAAATCAAACTCAAAACCTTCACCTTAAAAAAGCTGGAGTTCAGGGACAGTTCCTACTCCAAAGCTCACAATGCTGACACTGCCTTGGGAGGGAATTAATCTTGCTTTTCCCACTTCACACAAACACAAACAGGAACCAAAAAGACAGGCATTAAAAGTTGTAAGTTTATTTGTGGAGTGACTCCTAATATGCTTTAAAAAACAGTACTCAGAGAGCAAATATATACAAAGCTACTTTGAAAAGCCATTTACACTTTCTCTAGACCAGAGAAACTAAGTCTGGCCCCTGCAGCGCGGATACACTCACAGACCACAGTACTCTTGTAAAGAGCAGCTTTATAATGTGTGTCGGACACGATCAGGGCCAAACCTTAGTCTTCCTCTGAGAAGAGTGCAGCACTGATTCCCAGGCCATCAGCACCTTCCAGCTCCTTTTCATGGTCTTCAGTAATGGATGGGTCATGTGCTTTTCCTTGGTTCCTTTTATTCTTATGAGTACAAAGTAGGCTATTTTTCTCTTTGGTCTCAGAATGTGAGCTGGAAATGGCTTTTCTTTCCATTGCTTGTTGTAGGCAGTTATAGAACCTGTAAAGAATTAAACATACGGTTACGTATATGGGCATTCTGAAAGTGAATGACTGAAACACACCTAGAACTGATCTATTCTTTTAGGCTTGATGATGCCATGTCTTAGCCAATCAGCTAAAACTCTCCTTGCCTTCATTACTGTAAAAATGTGTTCTCCCTCTTTAAGAAGGCTACTTGGACACCCATCTAGTCCAGTGCTGCTCCCATGCATGCAGCAGGCTAGCTTGTCTCCTTCCATCACAGGGATCTTCTTAGAAACCCTGCCCCAGGGCCTGGCAGAGGGTCCCTGCACCACACTTCTATTTGCATACTAACTGCTCTGGTGAATTTAACGGCACCTCATATTGGAGAACCAATGACTCCAAGACCCATCTTGGGCATTCACCATCCCTTGGACAGAATTACAGTTACTTGCTGTCTATCAGAAGGCCCAGCTGTGCTGCTGCAAAAGCTAAGGCTCCACCAGGGACTCATTTCTCAACCACAGTGCCTAGCAGTCCTTCACATTTCATTGGCGTCTATATGAGTGTTTTCTGAAAGAACACATATGGACATATCCATCCTTATCCAGTCTGCTTCTTTTATAACAATACATGGGACACAGTTAATCTCTGGCATCCTACAGACAAGAACCACACACTGTCTAACCTGGGAGAGACTGAGGTCAACACTGGGATGGGTTAGCTGTGCAGTTCTCATCTGATGTGGAGTGGAGCTAGGAGCTGCAGCAGACAAAAGGATAGCCAGAAAAAAGTTTCACCAACGCTTTACTTACTCAACCACCAACCAGTGTTGAAAGCACCTGCTGGTTACAGTAAATACCCTCAGAAACCTAAATACAAGAACTCAAACAAACAAACAAACAAATAGGGAAACAACACCAGACTAATTTGGCAATGGTTTCTTTCTTGGGCTTAGTACCAAAGATAGGCAACAAAAGAAAATCAGACAAACAGCTTACTAAGAATCTAAAACTTATGTAAAGACACTGCTGATAGTGAAAAGGAAGCCCACAGAATCTGCCAATCACACATCTGCTGAACATCCAGCACACAGAGGAAATCCTACAACTCGGGGGAAACAACAATCCAATTAAAACTTGGACAAGAGACTTGAGCAGACACGTGTAAAGATGACAGATATATGGCCAATAAGGAGCATGTGCTGCACATCAGGAAAGACCAGAGAACACAAACTGAGAGTCTACTGAGAAGCCTTCGCACACTACCCTGCTGCTGTCTGCAAGGATAGAGCCTGGAGTCCTCACGGCTGGAGACGATGCCGGGCGGTGCAGTCCCTGTGGATGGCGGGGTGTGGCTCTGCAGGGAGTTAAATGTGGATCTACCCCACCACTCTAGTTCTGGGTGTGTATCCAAGAGGACTGAAGTGAGGAGGTGTGTGTGTGTCTGGAGACCAATCCTCAGTGTCTCACAGGTAAAATCTGTAAACAACTATCAGTCAACAGACGGACAGGGTATTGTGACTTCTTTTACCGTTTTATTATTCAATAGAGCTTGGGAGTCAAATATTAGAGAATAACCCTGATTGATTCATGGAGCGATGGAGGAGCAAAGATCACGTCACCATCTTCTCCACCTTTCCTATCAAAAAAGACCACACATCTTTTTATCCCTCCTTATTCACTGTGCCCTTCTATCTCCTCTGAGTAGGCCAGAGAAATCCACGGCCCACTCCATGGGCCATATCAGAGTGAAAACACACACAAAAATCTCCAGCAACAACAGGGAAACTACATGTGGTCCACAAACACAATGGGGGTCACCAGTTTGAAAAGGAAAAGTGACTGACACATGGGACACGATAGCAGAGCCCTTAACGTTCAGCTAGTCAGGGAATGTAGCTCAGCGGTAGGCCTCTTGCAAAGCATGCACAAGGCCCCAGGTTCAATACTCAATTCTGCAACAAACAAAACCACCACGAGGTGAGGCAGCATCCCAACAAAGGAAGATGGCACAGCCAAGCGGCTGGAGTAGCCAAGCTCACACACACGGAAAATGGAGTGCTCAGGGTAGCTGCAGGAGGGAGAGTGAGGCCGCGCTCAGTGGGTACAGTTTCTGTTACGGTGATGAAGGCTCTGGAGATGGATGGTGGCAGTGGTTTCTAATGATGTGGATGTCCACAATGCCATTGGTTAACATGGTAAACTTTGCTACACATATTTTACCATAGTAAAAAAGACTTTAAAAATGTCAACCACTGGGAACAGATTCAATTTCTTTGCCTTTCTGATTTCTTTATTCTTAATGATATTATATGCCAATATACTCAGCCCTTTATTCTGTTTGATTTAATATGTTATTACACAGTTGACGAAGAGAAGAACATGGTTAACTTCTTTCTAGTCAGGGCCACATGGCTTCATCGGACCCAGGCCCTGACCTGGTATTAACAGACAGAGACCCCTCCAGAGGCCGATTTACAGAGTTTTCCACCTGGACATCATTATGTTTGAAATAGCTCCTGGTGTCTGCTGGTCCCTGTCTCTTCTGGTCTCCAGACGCCATAGGCCCTCGGCTGTTCTGCTGGCTGAGTCCCTTCCCATAGAGAAGCAGGCATGGGAACTATTTTTCACAGACATAACCATGACCTTTTATCTGTTAAAAGTGTTTAGGGTCTGAGGAGATGGCTCACGGATAACAATGCAAAATCATCAGGGCCTGAGTTCAGATCCCAGCACCCACATCAAGGGCTCTCGATTGTCTGAGAGCCTGTGGCAGAAGCCCTGTGTCTGTCTCCATCCTAGCACCAGGTTTAGTGAGGAACCCTGTCCCAAGGCAGAGAGTGAGAGATCAGGACACAGACTTCACATGCATGCACATGCTTGCACACACAGGCAGATACCACACACACATATCACACACACAGGCACACCTGCACACATGGGCAGGTACTACACACACATATCACACACACAGGCACACCTGCACACATGGGCAGATAGCACACACACACACACACACACACACACACACACACACGCACAAACCCCCCCACACACACACACAGGCACACCTGCACACATGTGCACATACCATAGACATACATATCACACAAAATGCACATATCTGCACATGTGCACACACTACATACACTACTCTCATACATACGTGCATACATGTGACCAAGCAGACATCACACTCATGCATATATACGCATACTGACACATATAAGTATGCCATGCACAATACATACCTACATATACATATGCACACATCTAACAATACACACAAAATATTTTTAAGTACTTTAATTCCAAACTATTTGTTGTTGATGAGATTCTTGCAGCTATCTGAACCATGATGAAGTATCCCCACCCCCATGCTCACCCGCTGGTGTTGACGGCCTTTCTTCTTCTAAGACCCAGAGTTCTGTGCCTGCATCTGGCTGATGTGCAGACAGCTCTCAGGGGAGCACCCTAATTTACTCACATGCTCTGAATTCACATGTAATCTTGTAATCAGGATCTTGAGACACTTTTTACCCTTCTTTAATTTTTCACTGATTTTACATGATGAGCCTGGCTCTCTTGATGGCGGCATGCAAACTATCATCTCAAAATACATTTTTGAGTCAATGGATTCAACTCATAATTGGATTTTATGGTTGGTGAGCGTGGCTCAATTAACTTCACCAGGTGTATAGTTAGTTGGTCTTGGGCTATATTTATAATCTTGTTGAAATTCAGTACAGAATATAGAGAAACTGAACCTTTGCTTCTTGGGTCTCCATAAACAGCCCCAGGGGAGCACCACCTATAGAAGTTAAACTTTGGTAGCCGTACAGTTCGTGTCTGCAGTTTGGTGGGCAGTCAGGTCTGTGTCAGGTGACTACCTGAAAGATTCACTTTGGTTAGAACGTCCATACTTTGTGGACAGGGTTTATGAGCAATTTTTCTAAACCAGGATCTGCCTCCTGCAATGCTCTGAGATAGCCGCTATGTGTGAGGAATTGGCTGAGATCCCCTGTGTCCCATCTGGCATGGGTCACACGGCTCCCCCGGGGAAGCTTCGTGAATTCTAGGAATTCTCTGCTTCCAGGTGTGGTGCAGACTACCGTGCTGTGGGTGAATGGAGAGAAGGGCTCTCCTGTCTTGAAAGCCCACAAGAGTCACCGAGCAAGGCCAACCACAAAGAACATGCTATTCAATGGTATCAGTAACTGTTCTCTGAGCTAGCAATTTCCCCAGGTTAGAGATGACACAATCAAAAACAAGACAGTGACTTGGTAGAACTGAGCTGAGGAACTTGGCACGGATGAAACCCAGGCTCCTCTGGGGACTAGTTCCCATTGCTATCACTGGCGGCTTCTGTTTTAGCTGCAGCAGGAAATCTCTAGGTAGTTAAGGGGTTCAGGCAGGCAAGTCAAGGCATGGGTTTCTTTTGCAGTATATGGACATGACTTTGAGCAATACTGAGATGAGAGGCAGAGATCCTAACTATAACTTGTTCTGAGGCTGCTGCACAGGTCTTGAATAAATAAAGAGTCTTCATTAAGACAGAAAGAAAAGTGAACGAAGGGATATCTAGGCAGTGACGGGACGTGAGACTGTTAAAAGGGTGGGAAGAAAGAAAAAGGGAAATTACAAACGAGGTCAAAATGTCCATCACTCTGTAACCTGGAAATGTACCACTTGGGCTGGTTGGCTACAGTGAGACAGCTCACGGGTGAAAAGCACCTCTCACGCAAGTCTGATGGCCTGAACTTAAGTTTCTGAAACCACGTAACCCACAAAACTGCCATCTGACCTCCACAACAGTGTGCTTTGGCACACAGACACACAGACACACAGACACACACACACCCCAAACAAACAAACAAACAAACCCCCAAACACAAAACACAACAGATACACTCTTGCTGGAGGACCCAGCAGAACTGCTCACACACATGGAAGGCAGTGTTCACAGAAAACCCTGTTAAAATGGAGCTGTGCGCTGGTCCACTTGCCGGGTGGTACAGCTGAAGAACAAGAATACAAAGATGTGCCTGGAGACCCAGTCTTCTGGGTCTGCGATGAGCCTGCGATGCAGCTCCATATCGGCTCCATGGCAACAGCTGCCTGTTGAACTGGCCCAGGGTCTAAGATGCTATCAGACTGAAAAGGGGTGTCTAAGCCACACCCAGGGCAGTGTGCACAACTTCCCTTCAACCTGCTCCCACAGCTGTTGGACTCTTTCCCAAATGATCACTCTCTCTGCAGCAGTGTCCTGGCGGCCACATGTCTAGCTGTCTCGACGAAGTCTCCTCTGCAATTTTGGAGTGTCTGTCACAGTATGTTCTAGTCCCACTGATGGCCTCAGGCATCTTTCCTTCTCCACAGGAGGTCTACAGCTGCACAAGCCGTTCCGACTATAAACTTAAAGGAGTATGTATCCCTGTTTTCAAGAATGACATAGGCGTACATGAATAACATGGAAATAAATAATTAACTGTACCTTTCAATTCTTTTCTTGTTTTCCTCCATTTTCTGGTTTGCTATAGTTAACAGGAACTCAATATATTCCTCCGTCACCATCAGTTTTCCCTGATGGCTTAATGGGACTTCTAATCCATGTGTACTCCGGACAGCCTAGAGGAGAAAGCAGTGTAGACATGTCCTCACAGAGCCCAGTGTGAGAGAGAGAGAGAGAGGTCCTAATGTCCTCACAGAGCCCAGTGTGTGTGTGTGTGTGAGAGAGAGGTCCTAATGTCCTCACAGAGCCCAGTGTGTGTGTGTGAGAGAGAGGTCCTAATGTCCTCACAGAGCCCAGTGAGAGAGAGAGAGAGAGAGAGGTCCTAATGTCCTCACAGAGCCCAGTGTGAGAGAGAGAGAGGTCCTAATGTCCTCACAGAGCCCAGTGTGTGTGTGTGGGGAGAAAGAGGAAGAAGAGAGAGAGAGAGAGAGAGAGAGAGAGAGAGAGAGAGAGAGGTCCTAGACGGGCTCAGCGGGAACAGTTAACTCCATTAGAGCAAGGAGGTCCTTGATGTGATATAATTTAGTTAAACTCAAACAAATCAAAGGGAATGAAACAGATTTCTCCTCACGTGCAGAAGGGCTTCTATACGCTCTTTTTCAGAGGATCAGGTAATATTCAAAGAATCCAGTAACTTTGAACAGTTTCAATCCCTCTACAGCTAAGAAACTTCAGCATAGGATTTGAAGAAAAGAAATAAACGAAGCATCCACAGAGGACTCAAGGAAAAACCAGAGTCTTTCCAGTACCTGCTGGAGCTGAGTATGGCAAGGGGCAAGCCATGCTCCCCCATCATGCTGAGTTGTGGCGATACATTGTTTATGATCTAATAAAGCATGCCTGCTCAATGCTCCGGGGGCTGCCAAGCTTAGTAACTCTGTCAAAGAACAGTCAGCATATCCCATGTGCATCCAAGAGCTGGGTAGAGGATAAGGACAGAGCAGAAAATCCTACAAAACCCATCAGTATTCAAGAACAAAAATTCACACAGTGAATCCTTAATTATTGAGCTTCTCTGCGGCTGAGGCAACCCCCAAAGGAGCACAGCCTAGTTCCTGATGGGGGAGGTCCCACTGTACGCTACAAATATAGTACTGCTTTTATTGGTTGACGAATAAAGCTGTTTTGACAAATGGCCAGGCAGAACAGAGCCAAGGGGAAATCCAAACAGCGTTAGGGAAATAAAGAAGACAGAGTCAGGGAGAAGCCATGTAGCCGCCAAAGGGGTAAGCCACGGACACATGGTGATACATAGATTATTAAAAATGGGTTAATTTATAAGAGACAGCTAGCCAGTAATAAGCCTGAGCCATTGGCCAAACAATTATATTTAGTATTAGCCTCTGAGTAAATATTTCATAAGTGGCTTCAGGGACCCGAGAGGGGAGAGAAACCAGTCCAGGGGGACCAGCGGCACAGAGAAAATCATTCAACTACATAGTTTCTGCCTCTAAGAGAGACAACCACACAGAGCTGCAATGCACACCAAGTGTTATCATAGAAAGAGCACATGAATCCTTGTGTGCACAAACACAAGTGAAAAGTGCTCATAACACGGCAAATGCCCCGGTGAAGTCTGGGACTCAGCTCCACAAGACAAAAGCCAGCATTTTAGCCTGGGTTTCCAGGGACAAGAATAGTGTCATCAGACATCATAAAAACAGGGAGTGGATGTTTCAGCCAGAGCAGTAGCAGCTCTGCATGGCTGGAACACACACACACACACACACGGTGGTGGTGGTGGCGGAGACAGTTTAAGACCTTGGGTACCATGGAAAAGCTTGGGAAGCCCTGGTGTTTTAAAGTAGAGATTCTGACAGTACTGGTCAGGGACTGGAAGGCCTGAGGAGAACTCTCAGAAGCCAGCTGTCAGGAGACAGTCTTAGAAAGAGGAGTGGACACTGAACTCTGACTTAGGGATGGGGTGCAGGGCCTGGCTGGCAAAGACACACAGGCAGATATGATCAGACCAGTGGCTAAATGCATACAGGGGACAGAGGAGAGAAAGGCAAGGAAATTTTGTGCTTTCCCTTGGGGAACAGATATATTGCAGAGTGGAGAGAAGGCTTTGATTTACTGTTTAGATGCTTCCTGAGTTCTTTGGGGAAATAAGTCATTTGTTAAAAATAGAGTCAAGAGATCTAGAATAGCAGGAATTTGACCTGTTCAAATACACCATGTGCTGTGCAAATAGTGAACACAACAATTACTATGGGTTGCATTGGCCAGGAAAGGACAAAAAGGATGTAGGATTTAAGGACCTTGGGGACCTTCCAGATTGAGGCTTGCAAACTTCTTCTGTGAAGGGACAGTAAATATACTTGGTTTTGTGGGTCATACGGTATCTTACTACTCAAACTCGAGGAAGTGGTACAAACCAAGCTAAGCTGTAGCCAATCGTGAATGAGAGGGTAGAGTGCACTTGGCCCCAGCGGCTGAACTTGGCCCAAGGAGATCAGTCTGCTGGACCTCTGGGCAGACAGAGGTGTTAAACAACTCACACAGATTATAAAGCTCAGCTGTGGTCACCGGTCACCAGCGTGGAGGACTTGACGCCTGTGAGGCTCTCCGTGTGGCACAACCTTACTTATTCCATTATCGTAGATGACTCATGATGTGACCAGGAGAGCAAAGAAAGCAGAGAAGGGGGACAGAAAACAGACTCAAATATAAATCCAAAGTCAGGATTTCCTGGGGTCGGGAGGGAGAGCCTGCCACTTGGGGTCTGGGGACCAGAAAACCCAAGGCATTTTGAGGAGGGAGGGAAAGAGCAGGAGTGACAAGAGGCGGCTCCAGTGGCCTTATGTCACATCCACAGAGCTGTTCTTGCCGACAGACCTTACCAGCATGGTCTTTCCTCGCTTCCCCACGGTGATGCCAGAGTTCCTGAAGCCAGAAGCAACGGCCGCTGAGTGCTGCAGGAAAACACGGTACCCTCAGTTACGCCAGACAGACAGACCCCCAATTATGCCTCATAAGCGGTGGAAACAGGTAACTGCAAAACCATTTCTGCGTCTGGCTGTGTGGACTGTGCTTTAGAACCCCCATCATAATGACTGCCACACATTCCTGAAGAACAGTTCTAGAAATGTCACCAAGAGAGGGTGAGACAGGCGTCTGGCCAAAGACCACGTACTACAGCACATGACCAAACCGCTTATGTTGGCGATCTGAATGAGATGTCCAGCAGGGGAACCTAAGTCAACAGGGCTGATGGCCCCATGGAGATCCTAGTGGAGTCCATCCACAGAGGAAAGGCCATGAGAGACGCAGGAGAGGGTGGCTGTCAGTAGGCAGAGGAAGAAGTCTTACTCCGCCAAACCCTGACCTTTGACCTCCAGCACAGGAAAAAAAGTAAGTATCTTTTGTTCCAAATCATTTACTATGTGGTATTTTATTATGGCATCCCTGATAGACAGTCTCCAGCATTTAGAATGCATTCCTCACACTATTTGCTTCTTGGATAACCTCTTGAAGACACTACCTGGCTCGCAGGTGCTCAGGCCAGACCTAAGACTTACTCCTTCACCTTTTCTATTTCCCAGGCTGTCTGACCCCTGACACCATCATTCTGATGAACTAAAAACTAAAACTGACTCTGTCACCGCCTCATGCTCTTTGGTGTCGCCATACTCCACTGAGAACCCTGACTATACCGTGGCAGAATTAGGCTCTCAGAACACAACCGCACTGACCCTTTACAACTCCCACTTGACTGAGCAAGAACCTGACCTCTTCACTCTGGCCTGCAGGCCTGAGGTTCCTGGCTGCCATCTTTCTCCCTTTGGCTCTGAGAACACACCAAGCCCTTTCTGCTTCTGAGATTCTCTATTAGGAACATTTGAATCTGCTATAGGCCTAACTTTTTCTATTCTTTTCCAGTCTTACCTCCAGGAGCTTTCTTCAGAGTATCTTGTGAGAGGCGCCTGCACACAGCTCTCCTCGTTGCTCTGTGATGCAGGGAACTGAGCACTCTTACTAAATTACACTGGTAGTGAAACAACCCTGCATGTAAGCCAGTGAAAGCCATAAAAATGCACAGAGAGATGCCAAGCATGCAATCCCACAGACTGTCCTCCTAAACTCGGCAAGGAAACCAAAGACACAGGCCTGTGAAATTTACATGTAGAGTGCTGAGGAAGATGGCGGCCATGTGTGGGTATGCATTTTACTTTCCCAGAGACTACCAGGAGCCCCTGCTCTTAACACTCCATATAAATAGCTAGACTGACCAACCAGATGAAAACAATTAAGTCAAAACATAAGCTGAATAACCGACACCCAATAATTTTAAAAGGTGGCTTAAAGCCTAAAATTAATTTTATCAACAGATGTCTAAATTCAAGAGCAGGCATAAAATCTTACCAGGGTCTGTGCGTCCTGCAGTGTCTGGCATTGTACATGGAGGATAAATGGTTCAAACTTCAGGACAGCATTGCTGGTTGCGCCCTTCAGAGCTGCCATCTGCAGGAACCAAAGCACAGCATCAGGCTTGGCTGCTCCGCCCTGTCCTCCGCTTCTCTCCTACCTTCTTTTCGCATTCCCAGAAATTCTCACACTCACTAAGCACACAGTGTCTGTAATATCTGTCTCCTCTGCTTTCTTTCATTAAGAACATTACTATATTTTTATTTTGTTTAAACTTTTCCTTACATTTATATATTCATTGGGTGGGGCAGGGAAAGACACCTGCCTGATGCAACCTTCCATGGGCTCACCTCACACTTCAGTCGCAGAGAACAGACGACTGAACACAGCCATGAAGGCTGTGAAATCTGTCCATGATGTGTAGTTATTTCCAACACAGAAGCCAGCAATGCAGAGAGGGCGAATCCCCTTCTTCTCTTTCTATAATTTCTTCCAGGTTGTAAAGTTGCTAAATAACCGACTTGAAAGACTTGGATCCAACATGCCAAATGCACACAGCCTCTCTGCTGCTGAGGCAGATGCTCTGCTGAGCTGCAGGAAGATGGCCACTTCACACCACCACCTCCTGCAGCCCAGTACTTCACACCACCACCTCCTGCAGCCCAACACTTCACACCACCACCTCCTGCAGCCCAACACTTCACACCACCACACACCATCATCTCCTGTAGAGCAACACTTCACACCACACCATCACCCCCTGCAGCCCAGCAGGGCCAAAGGAGTGAAAGCTCTCCAGACTTCATCATCTTCAGTCATTACAATGATACACGTGAATCTTCCATTCTTTCCATATGTATTGAACATAACTGTGGATTTTAAAGTTTATCTTCTAAATATTAAAAACCTACCACATCATCTTTCACACAAGGTTTGTGTGTCACCAGGAGCCAGCAGCAGTGCTGTTTCTGAATCCCAGAATCGCTTGTGCTCTAAAACAATAGACAACTTAATTATAATACCTAACAAAACTTAAGTACATTGCATTGCAAAAAATGAGGGTTATTCTTAAGTTATTATTTGTAAGGATTAATTAAAAATAATTCAATTTATTTTGGGGTAAAAATAACCTAGAAGAAAAATCAACTCAAATAACTTAGGGCGTGAATGGTAACAGTACTTGTGTGTTTAGAAATATGGCCATGTTTTTTGTTGGCGTCCGTGTTTGTGCTGTGATGCTAGGGATGGAGCCTGTAAGACTCTGAGAAGGGTATATTTTATCCGAATCTACTAAAAAGTGACAGAAGCCAGTTAGAAGCCAGTCCATATACAGTTAGCCACACCCAAGTCTCTCCATTACCGCTGGATGCAGCTGTCTCAAACAACAGCAATCTTCACCAGGCCTATAAGGTGAGAGGTTTTTCCCTCTCTGTGGAAGAGGGACATGGAAAAGATTGACCTTGTTTTGTTTAGGCAAAGGGGTACAATCAATTTTCCAGTGTCCAGCAGCTTTGTCCACAGTCTCGGCCAGGTCGTGACAGGCAACAGGTATCACATCTGAGCATCTTGCTCACTGGTCATCGTCACCATCATCCAGGTGCAAGAAATGGGGTGCCTCACAATCTTCTTTGGAGACTTTGGGTCACTGTCAGGATCTGGCAGTCTGTCTGATATTATAAACTTTTAAAATAACAATTTAAATACCATATTCTGCAGGTCTCTGAAGCATTAGAGGTTTGTCTGTTTAGTTACTTGCCTTAAGCACTTGGGTGGCTAGGTAAGGTCTTATTTCTGTAATTAATTTTCAGTTGGACTGTAACTGGTTTTAACTTAGTAAAATGTTTGAAACTTAGCACAGCTGAACTTAAAACTGCATAGAGCTACCTTATATTCCTTAAACAGTAGCT